TATTGGAAAGTGTCATAGTTGTTCCAACTATGACATTGGAATATATGCAATTTTGTGATCTCGTGATTCTGTGACATCTGTGCAATTTTGTGATTTCGTGAATCCGTGACATCAGGGTTGATAAACCGTGATGATCCGTTTTGATCGGAACATTTGCATGTTTTGGAGAATTGTGAATTTGGGATGTCATGGTTTTTATAACCATGACCTCCGAGCAATCTACGAGCTTGTGAATTTGGATGTTGCAGTTGAGGAACTACAACGTGGAATCCTAGTTTTATGTTGTTTCAGACCAAACTGGCCGGAATCGATACTTTCCGATGCCTTGAGTCCAGGTTGCAAGTTTTGAACAAAGTAGGTTGGTTTTTCATTGACAACGTGAAGTTGCTGGAATCAGTTTTTAGCAAACAGAATTCGTGAACGAGTTTGAACTCACTATTTTGGTGGAACCAAAATAGTCTGAACGGCAGTGTGAACTGAGTTGTTGCAGTTTGAGAGTGTCAACGTATGTTTCCTGTGATCTTGTGCAGGTGGCGACTTCACTGCTCTATTGGATGTTGTTTTGTCTCCTAATGATGACACATGTCAGTCTATTCAAGTAGCTTCGAGCTACGTCTTACTCACTGTGATGAGAGACTGGCGTCTGAAGGGGACAAACACATCCAGTGGGTGTGTGTTGTCTGCCTCTTGTTTGTGGAAGAAGAAATAGAAAGAGAAAGGAAACAGTTTTTGGAACTAACTTAAACACATGGCTCAAGGTGAAACCTTGTGAAACTGTGAAGAGTTAGTATATGACACCTCACGTCCTTGTTTTGGTTTGTGGTGACCGTGTGTAACTGCTAACCTGCTGCTGGACAGACTGTGGAGTGCAAACGGAAAAGGGATCAGACTGAGTGAGGCCATTGGTTTTGACACTTCGTGAACCTTGCGTTTTCGTTTTGTGTTAATTAAGTAACTGCGCGTAAACTTTTGGCGAAATCGGTTTTGATTTTCTACGGGCCCCGTTTGTTTGTTGCTTCGCTGTTGTTTCCCTGGGTGAAACGCAAATCTGGCTAGGGATTTGCGGATCTGTGATTTGCTGAGGCAAAGCTTCTGAGACATTCCGTAGTTGGCGGCTAGCTTGAATAACTTGGTAGCGGCTTCTGTTTTCTCCGTTGAGACTTGACACAATGTAAGCTGGGTGATCGATGCAGCCATACGGGAAATAGCACTTTCTCCATTGGAGAGTCTAAGGCTCAGTTCTGAAATTGGTACGAAAAAAGAGCGAAGCCTTCTTACGACTTGGGACACTGCAACGTGCCAATTTCACCAGTTGATTCGCAGTCTGCACCCTCAGCGAGCTATGAGGTCAGCAAAGCACAAAAGGAACTCCTGCTATTGCCACCCACAGAGAAAGGCTCTAGTACTTCTTCTGAGGAGGAGTGCGCACTACAAGCCTCTCCAACTCACTTTGACGGTTGCAAGAGCACTAGCCAAGAGCTACCAGAGGATGACGTAGGAAAAGATCAACTGAGTGGACTCTGAGTGGACTCCTCTGAGAGTTAGAACGCGGCTGTCTGGTCACCTTAGTCCTGTTTCACTATCCGTTTTCACCTTTCCTTCGGCCACGTGACTCTGTCATTGCTGGTCTTGGGATTGCTCCTGACTTGTGAGAATTTATGCTGGCTCCTGGCTGCGGGGAGCCCTGGTTTCCGCACACTGCTGTGTTGCTTTCTCTCACATGTCTCTCGTATGGCGATTTGTTTGTTTTGTTTCTTGTTCTGTTGTTTTCATTTCAATACAATTCACTTGATGATGCACAAGTCATTATCTCCCAGCCGTACTGGCCGGGTCAACTTTCATCATGCCGCTTGTGGTTCTTTGTGTGTTTGGTGTGTTTGGTTTTTGTTTGTGTGTTTTGTTTGTTTGCTTTGGTTTTTTGTTTGTTTTCGGTTATTCTTTCGGCACGTGATGACGCCATAGGACCGTGTAAGGTTAATTTATGACTGCTTTAATTTATGGGCAATATGTATGCAGCATGCCATAGCGTGTTGATCGACCTGGCGAAGCTAAGAGGCGATGGACAGAAAAAAAGGACCGAGTCTTAGAGCGACATCGGCCAAACCAGAGGAAAAAAAATCTTTCTGCATTAAGTCGATTTGGGTTGGGGCCTTGCCCCCCTTCCCCGTTGCTTCTTTTTGAATTGTTTTTGCTGGGAGTAATTGATTTTTGACCTTCTAGACAGTTGGGATGGGGGGGTGGGGGTGTAGCCGGCCGTCGCCATGGTCTGATGATGCACCTGCTGCGAGCTGCACTGGCGCTGTCCAGTGTTGCTCTCTGCAGGGAAATCTCAGTGCGCCCCCCGCGCAGCAAAGTCTGCCCCAATGGCTTGTTTGCGAGGTGCTATGAACCTGTAATGCGGAACATTGGACTCTGTATTTGAGCAATGAACTGCTACGGGATTTTTATTGTGTCATGGCTCATTTCATGAGCTCAAACATTGAGACAGTGTGCTGCGGACACCATTGCGAGACGAAGGCACTTACAAGGTGCCCGAACAACACCCTGATCTATTGCTGCGACCGTCACGCATGCCGTTGCAGCAGTACCTCTGCATGGCACTTCCCAGTTAATTGATAGCGACACACGATCGCCAAAGGTAAGCACACCTCAGAGTGACGCAAAGTATTGGGGTAGCGGTAGTTTCGGACTCGGATTCTTAGACCTCGAGCTCAGCCTGTGGCACCTACTGTCCACTCTTATGATGAATGCAAGCATTGGACATCACGGATTAGCTGCCCTTGCCAAATAATGTGGATCTTTCCTGGTGTGCGAGCTGCCGACTCTTTAGGTCTGGGCTTTCTGGCTGAGCCCTGATCCTTCACTTCCACGTTTGGACCTTTCGGTCGTGCCCCCCTCTTTGGGGGCGTCAGATCAAACGTATCGGGGAACTACTTATGTCTGGTGTTGCTTTTACATGGTGCAGTTGGTTGGTGAGACGCACTTCATTCTGATCAGGGACCTACAGTCTTGGCGGATGCTAGAAGAAGCACACTTGAGAGGACTCTGAGAGGACGAATGTGCGAATGTATAGACTGTTTCACCTTTCATCATTTTCCAGTGTAGCCTCACAACTGTCTTTTCTCCGATTACTCATCGTGGAAGTTCTTAATTCGTTTTGAGTTTCTATGCAAGTCTTTTGATATGGCATAGAGGGAGCTTTCCCTCTCTGTCTGGTGGCAGTTGGCGTTTGGTTGTTCTTGTTTGGGCTCTGGCCCCGTTCTGCTGTTGCTTCGCCATTGTTTGCGAGGTGAAACGCAAATCTGGCTGGGGGATTTGCGGGTCGTCCTGGGCTTGTTTGGGTTCTTGGTCTTGTGTTTCGTTATTTCGTTGCCACACTTTGTCACTGTACAGTTTGAACCATTGCGTTCAATTCGATTCTTTAGTTCACAGCTTATACAAATTTCAGGACCGAGCCTCAGAGCGTCATCGGCCATACCCGGGAAAAAAAGCAAAGGCAGTGTTTGGGTCTTGGATGAGGATGCCAAACGTGAATTAAAGCTTTTGAGATTTCGGGTGTGTTATCATCCACCGCGTAAGCTTTATTTCTGCCACCCTGAGGCGCCGGTATTTGTTTTTACAGATGGTGCTTGCGAGCCGGCCGATGATGGCTCGTATGTGGCATCGATTTGAGGAGTTTTGATATGCGGCGATACCAGACGATATTTTGGTGGACGCCTCGATGGTTCTTTTGGTAAGCAGGTGGATGGATGGCAAGAAGCATATTGTTGGATTGGTGGAATTATACGCGGTTGTTTTGGCAAGATATCATTGGGATATTTTCTTGAAAGGTCGCCGAGTTATTTTCTTTGTGGATAACATACCGTCGATGAGATCTCTTATCAAAGGGACATCTTCCGAGAGCCAGTGGAGAGAGTTGCTGCGGAGTCTGGAATCTATTGAGATCAGGGGTCCTACATATTCTTGGTTTGCGAGAGCACCCTCTGATTCGAATATAGCTGATGGTCCGAGCAGAGATGATTATTCTGGCCTCGAGTTATTCGAAGCTACGATACCGGTGTGTATTTTTGCACAGTCGTTGGTACAATGGTAATGTGGTCGTAAGTGAAGTGGGAGTATTGTGCTACCTGTGTCATGGATGTTTTCAACTGCATGGATGAAACCTGTATCGGGTTGAGAATGTATAGATGCGCAAAGTTGCAGATGGATGAATTAGGGATTCAATTGATTTGTCCCCGAGAAAAGTGAAGTGCGTAATATCAAAGGGGAGGAGTTTAAAAAAAAAGAAAAGAAATAAATTGGAAGAGAGATATTGAAGTTTGCTGGACGAGAGTGAGAGTCGCGTTAGGAGAGTTGTGCAGCAGATATGTTTGTAAGGCGTTTGTAGTAATGCGTATATAGCATGAACATTTATTGTTGGCTTACCAATAGAAATTTATGGCTAAGACGTAAAGGGTTAAACAAAACCCGGTGCACAATGAAACGAGGAAGATGAATTCCCTGCACAAAGAAAGTCGAGGTGAGGATGAAGGTGGTGAATACCTTCTATGTATGCAACGCAAGATGATGAATACCTGCATGCTTATGAATCAGAATCCTCAACCTTGTGACGAAACTATTTGGAACAAATGTAGGTTGGTTTGTTGGGGGTACGTAATGCAGTCCCTGCAGGTATACAACGGTGTGTCCATAATGGGATCATGGTGGATTGGTGATCTTGCTCTGAATTGTTATTTTCAAACGTGGGCTTGCGAAACTGGAACTCTTGGTCGAAGTTTTTATTGATTTTGTTTTTGATGTGTAGGGTTGATGCTTGATTTTCTGTGATCGATGCTTCGGTGGATGAGATGAGTTGTTTGTGGACTTGGACGGCGTGGACTATCTTGTGGCATCTGACGATATGTTGTATGTTGTCCATTTGGAGCAAGTTGAAACAGTGTGGATTGTTTTCTTGATTTTTTTCCACACCCTCCGACCCTGGTTTACAGGTTGTCTTCTATATGGCTGCTTCTTTGTCCAAAGCACGAGCTCGGCGTATTCCGCGTGATGTTAGCTCCTCTGATGAGAGCTCCCATGAAGTTTTGGAGGACGCCAATATTTTGCCGCGACAGTTTTCTTTGATGTCACCACGTTTGCCACGCCTACATTCGATCAAGGGCCCTTTCAAGCTGGTGCTTGGTGGTATTTTAGTTGATCCCCCTCGGAGTCGCACTCGATGGACTCCATTTAAACTGATTGAACGGCTTCCGGGTCAGCTACATGGACAGTTTCGATTCAACTGTGATGAAGGATATGTCTGCAGGCCTCTCACTTTGGTGTCTGGTGGTGATACTTCAGGTGCTTGGCGCAAAGTCTACAGCTCTGTGGAATATCCTAGGTTGGTTTTCAAGCTGATGCCTTCGACCGAAGATATGTCCTATACCACTGAGAGATCCGTGCCTTTAGGCAAATGCCTTGATTATACGGCACAATTCGTTCAAGAATTTCACTGTTGGGTCTCTTTATGTGAGTCCGAGAAACCTGAAGGTGCTCCTCACCGCACAGTCCAGCAAGTGCACTTTCATATATTGGTATGTGAACGCCTGGTGCCACTACTTCGTGCTGATCTCCAAGGACTTGATTCGGAGGAAGTTGCTTATAGACTTGCCCTTGCCATTGCAGGGGCTTCTCAGCGGGGATTCCGCCTTCGAGACTGCGGAAAATCGAATTGGGGATTTGGTATGCGCATTTGTCGCTTGGTTCCCCTTCTCCTTGATGGAAACAGCTGGGTCCGGCTTGAACCTGATGATCCATTATTTGGAAAGTGGCCGCCAAAGAAGCTTATTGGAAGTTTCTGGCCTCTTCTCGCCGAGATTCATCCCCAAGCGGCCTCTGAAATTGAGCAACAGGTTTACTGGCCAGTCGGTGGCACTCAATTCGATGCTGAGCGTATTTGTGCTTTCCTGTTGAGACGGTTGGCTGGTCTTGATGAGCCCCAACAGTGGAACCCCTTTCGCTGAAGTTTGGTTCCTATAGTCTCTACAGCTCCCTCAGTGGTCAATTCGTTTCCCTATGTATTATGGCATTCCTTGAGTTTGAGTTCGATCTATATGCATGGCTTTTCTTTGAATTCGTGGACGTTCCGCAATGACATGGTATTTGCCGGGCTTTTATGCACGTTATTTGATTTGTGAACGTTCCTCAATGGTACAGTATCTGCATGGTATATGGCGCCCTTTTTGGACTTTTCTATAGCAGTTATGATATGGGTTTTGCACCAATCAGCTGTATTTGGCTACTTCGTATATGGCATTGAATTTTCTGCCGTATTGATGGCTCTGCTGTATTTGGTTGATCTGCCGTATTGATGCATCTGCCGTATTGATGAGTCTGCCGTATTGCAGCTCTGAGCATTCTGCATAATGCGCCTGACAGAGTGTCATTCTATGTGCATAGCAGTGTACAGGTCGTATTGTGCTACCTGTGTGGTGGATGTTTTCAACTGCATGGATGAAACCTGTATCAGGTTGAGAATGTATAGATGCGCAAAGTTGCAGATGGATGAATTATGGATTCAATTGATTTGTCCCCGAGAAAAGTGAAGTGCGTAGTATCAAAGGGGAGGAGTTAAAAAAAAGAAAAGAAATAAATTGGAAGAGAGAGATTGAAGTTTGTTGGACGAGAGTGAGAGTCGCGTTAGGAGAGTTGTGCAGCAGATATGTTTGTAAGGCGTTTGTAGTAATGCGTATATAGCGTGAACGTTTATTGTGCACTAGTTGTGCCATAATGTAGGTATGTATGGTTTCATGTACGTACAAATGTATGTATGTGTGTTTACATATTTATATTTCTTTGAACTTGTTTCATTATATATTTACAAATTGATGTATGTATGTACTTATGTTTGCATGTATGTATGCACATGCATGCATGCATGTATGGATGTACGCATGTATGCATGAAGGCATGTATGCATGTATGGATGTACGCATGTATGGATGTATGCATGTTTGCATGTTTGCAGGTACGCATATATGCATGTTTGGATGTATGCATGTATGTATGTTTGCATGTCTGCATGTATGTATGTATGGTATGGTATGGTACGGTACGGTTTCTGTATATAGGTCTGTATGTATTGTATGTATTGTATGTATTGTATGTATTGTATGTATTGTATGTATTGTATGTATGTATTGTAATGTAATGTAATGTGAAGTAATGTAATGTAATGTAATGTAATGTATGTATTGTAGGTATTGTAATGTAATGTGACGTGATGTATTGTAATGTAATGTAATGTGAAGTAATGTAATGTAATGTAATGTATGTATTGTAGGTATTGTAATGTAATTTAATGTGACGTGATGTAATGTAATGTAATGTAATGTAATGTATGTAATGTATGTATGTATGTATGTATGTATGTATTGTAATCTCATGTATTTAATGTAATGTAATGTAATGTGATGTAACATGATGTAGTGCAATGTATGTAATTTGATGTCATGTTTGTAATGAAGTGTAATGTAATGATGATGAGATGTGATGCAATGTAATTAAATGCATGTATGTATGTATGGTATGTAATGTATGTAATGTATGTAATGTATGTAATGTTTGTATGTATTGTAGGTATTGTAATGTAATGTGACGTGATGTATTGTAATGTAATGTAATGTGAAGTAATGTAATGTAATGTAATGTATGTATTGTAGGTATTGTAATGTAATGTGACGTGATGTAATGTAATGTAATGTAATGTAATGTATGTAATGTATGTATGTATGTATGTATGTAATCTATCTATTGTATGTATAGATATTTGTTTGTTATGTTTTGTAATGTATGCATGAACGTATGTACGTATGTATGGATGTATGGATGTATGGATGTATGTATGCTGTCTGTCTGTCTGTAATGTATGTAACGTATGTAATGTATGAAATGCATATAATGCATGTAATGTAATGTAATGTATTGTATTGTATTGTATTGTATTGTATTGTATTGTATTGTATTGTATTGTATGTAGTAATGCCCCAGTTGGGTAGTGTAACGTACCAACGGGTTTGTTTCTTAAGAAACCTCTGGTGGGGGGGTGGGTTGTTACACTCACGCATGTTGACCCTTTACCAGTAGTGCGTCAAGATGTTTCGCTTTCAACAACGTTGTACATAGTGACCGTTTCACGCAATCACCAGTTTTACCTGGTCACCAGTTTTACCTGGAGTAACCTTCGACGTCTTACGTTCGCATTCGTTTTCCGTTGGCGGTTTTACCCGCGTTTAATTTACGTTCTGTCTCGTTGCAACGTTCGTTATAACGATACGTTTCCTCGCGACGTCAAACAAATCGGGTTTTACCCCAAACAAACCTTAACAACAGTTTTTCAACTGCTGTTTCGGTTTTCACCGTTGTGCTTGTGATGTCATCTTGTTTCACTTGTCAGTTTCAGATTGATGTGCATCTTCAGATTGAGTTTTGACATTTTGTTTCCGTGCAGTATGGCTGGAAATTTTGGCAGTACCCGGCGCGATGCCACTTCGCTCAGTTCGGAGGATCCGCGATGGAGGGATCTTGAAGATACTGGATTTAGCAGGACTGGGCAGTTGGTGACTGAATTTGGTAGACCTCATTTGGTTACCTTTCTGTTTGATGATGAACAAGAGTGTCTGGAAGTGGTGAAGGGACTGCATGGACATAACTACGTTTTGCACGCTGCTTTGGCCGACTCGGACAGACTTTTCAAGTGGGCTGCTAAGCATGCCCGGGAGTTTGATGTGGACAAGAGGGAAGACCGGAAGAATGCCTTGCGCTACAAGGTGGCAAAGCTGGAGAGGCCTTCAACGGCTGATGCATATGAGGAACTGTTGGGTATGGACATCAAACTTCAGGCCCGAATTTCAAAGGCCAACTACAGGCTACAAGTGAGATTTCCATCCAGCAGCAAGGCGGAGATCGAGCAAGCAGCGCGTGAATACTGGCTCACAGTGCTTGTGGGTTACTTGGAAGAGGCGGCTCTTCCGATTGTTGCTGTGGCCAAGGCCACGTCTAGCCCGGCAGATATCATGCGAAGGGCGTTTGGTACAAGGAGAATGAAGACTCTCCGAAATCGAGCACGAGCTTGGAGCAGGGTTCGAGATTGGATGATAATGTTCACGGGGGACCCATACCCGCGAGATGTTGCAGACATGCTGGAGTACCTGCTCTTCTTGGTGCAGGAAGAAGCTCCGAAGGGGCGTATCCAAGATGTGGTCTCGGCCCTGGCGGTGCTTGAAGATGCGGGGCAAGTGCCAGCAGACATGAAGATCAGTGGAATTCCAGTTTGGATTCACGGCGTCAAGTCGAGGCTGGCAGAACTGGAGCTTGGACGCACACAGGTGAGACGAGCGCCACCGCTGACTGTGGGGATGCTGATTGCGCTGGAACTGACAGTGATGTCAGTGGACTTGGCGGAGTACCACAGGGCAATAGCATGTGTGGTGCTACTTTGTGTTTGGGCCTGCCTCAGGGTATCTGACTTGGAAGGTCTGGACCCAGGGCGTTTGAGCCTGGGAAGCAGAGGCCTTAGAGGAGTGCTTGTACGCACAAAAACTACAGGACCTGGGAAGCCTGTGAAAGAGACGCCAATCTTTGTGTCGCGTCGCATTTCTTTAACTGGATGCGACTGGCTGCGCTGCGGGTATGATCTCTGGGATGGCTTTGGATTCAAATCCAGAGACTATTTTGTGATGGCCTCTGATCGAAACTTGGAGGCTCCCTTGGCTAAGTACGCATCAGTCGAAAGAGTTGGCATCTACATCCGACAGGTGTTCCTAGCACTGCAGACCCCTGTGAAGCCAAGGTTTCAAAATTGGAAGTTCAAAGAGGGCGCAGGCATGGTTGATCCGATCGGGATGACCTATTGGTCGGGTCATTCAATGCGCCACTTTTTACCAACGGTGGCAGCAGCTATCGACATCAGCAAGGAACAACGGGACTACGTTGGAAGGTGGCACATCAACTTGCACCAGTCTGCTGACTATGTGCACACGTCAAGGCAGATGGTGCACCAGGTGCAGGAGTCGGTCAACAAGGCGATCTGTGAAGGAGTTCCGAGCTATGATGAATCAGAGCTCATGGAGGACTTTGCATGTTACCTCACAACCAAGGGGAGGTCGCCAGGAGAATGGATCAAACCACATGCAGTGTGGAAGCAGGTTGATGGCAACTACCTGATTGGCGGCAAATGGCCAACCTTGGGAGAAGATGTCTACGAAGAGGAGATCTGGGCGGATCAGAGCGACCAGGTTGTGGAGGCGGCCTTGGAAGAGCAGCCCACTGACTCGGTTGTGACCGAAGAGATCGTGCAGCCCAAAGCGGCCTTCTTCGTCACTGTCAGCCGCCACTCAGGCTTCAGAAGGTTGCACAAGATTGGATGTTGCAGCCTGCAACCATGGACCTGCTACATGCAAGACCTGCCAGAGAGCAGCAGGTAAGATGGTGGATGACGATGGGTCAAGCTCATCGGGATCATCTTCGTCCACGGAAGTGGACACCGGTGAGCCCAAAGAGGACGATTTGGAGGTGCCGATGGGGGACCTGTAGTTCCCTTTTGGATTCGTGAGTGTTGCACCCTCAGAGAAAAGAGTGAGAGCTTAGTTAGCCGCCAAGTGCATGACGTGATGAGTGTGAATCAGATTCAGTTCAGTTGCATTCAATTCAGCACCATTCAGATGCGTCTCACTCTTGAGCAGTGTTGAATCATTCAGTTCAGCAACACATGGTTTTACCCAGTGAGATGTGGCTCAGAGCTACTCAGTCAGAAGTCCCTTTTACGGGACGAGGCTTTTACGCCCAATCAGTCAGGACCTTATTTAGGCAGTAACAGGCAAGTTCGGACCTCAGTCATTCACTTTTACTTGTTGTGAAACTGTTTCATTCCACAGCATTGGTCAACATGTCATGGGCGGTGCTTACATTGACAGTTGGGTTGAATTGTTTGAAACGTGAACATACAAGCGGTGTAGCAGGGCAC